ACTTTGACTGACGAATCAAGGTTGATTGTTCGGAGATAGATGACTGCACAATAAGCCTTTTCTGAAGCGTCGCAGAAAGCATGGATTTCTATAACTACTGCCTTCGGACTCAAGACATACCTCGGAAATTGTAAGCTTGAAAGTAAGGGCAATTCTAGATAGAAACGCTTCCATTTTCTACTTATTCTCTTATCAACGAGTTCATCCCAACCCAGCTGTAAGTTCCATAACTCTTGTAATAATATTTTCGCGTATATTATTGTTGGCGCTAACCATCCCATTGGATCAAAGATTTTGGCTACTTCTGATAAAATAGTCCTCTTAGTAAACTCTTTATCACTTATGCATACCGAAAAATGAAACGTATCACTAGAGTTGTTCCAATTAATTCCCAATACTTTTACTTTCTTGTCACTGTTTATTTCAAGAGAAATACTGGATTCTCGTAAGCACTCGGGAATATTCTCTAAAATAGCTGAACTGTTTGAAATCCACTTCCTTAAGCGAAATCCACCCCTTTTCATCATTTCATTCAACTGCTGAACTAGAACATTCGCTTCCTCTTCACTTTGTGCCCCTGAAAGCAAATCATCAACATAAAAATCACGAAGGGCAATTTTTGATGCTAAAGGAAATCTCACTTGTTCATCTAATGCAAGTTGTTTCATTACTCTAGTAGACAAATATGGCGCACAGGCAGTCCCATATGTAACTGTCACTAATCTAAATGTACTCAAGGGCTCACTCACTAGGACTATCCCTCCAAAGCATTCGTTGCCAATTTGTATCTTCTGGGTGGACACGAATTTGTCTGAACATCTTCTCTACATCGGCACATACTGCAATTTTGTGAGTTCTAAACCGTAGAAGAATTGGAAACAGCTCTTGCTGAACTCTTGGCCCAACCATCAAAATATCATTCAATGAAAGACCCGATGTCGTTTTAGCTGAAGCATCGAAAACAACTCTCAGTTTAGTCGTAGTACTTGATTCCTTTAATACGGCATGATGAGGCATGTAATACGTAGAGTCAATAAGAATCTCTCCCTCAGGCACTCCCTCCATATGTCTCAGCTCAAGGTATTCCCTCATGAAATCCTTATACTGTTCATATATCTGAGGCCTTTTTAGAAGTGAATTTTCTAAAGATTGGAATCTACGCATAGCTAATTGTCTGGAATCTCCAAGCTGAGAAGGCGGAGAGTGAAACGGTAATTTCACAGTATATACCCCACTTTCCTCTCTCGTATATGTAGATTTGAAATAATCTTCACATGCTCTCTCCGATTTAGTAAGCATGCATGTCAAACGTAGGTACAGCATCCAATTTCCAAAAGTCAGACAGCATCTGATCAGTTTCCACTTGTATATTATTAACATAGATAGTAGGATTAATTTCTGTTGAATTATTCACACTACCTGAAATAATCCATCCTAGTTCAGAACGAGAAGCTACCGGTTTACCTTCTTCGCATTTAATTATTTCTCCCTTTAAAAGAGGTAAGGCAATATCTACGCCTAAAAGTATATCAACAGGCCCACTTTTGTAAAATGTTGGATCTGCTAACATTAAATCATTATATTCCTCAACGTACTTCTTATCCAATGTAAAATGCGGCAAAGTTCCAATAATTCTATTGATGATAAATACTGGTGTTTTAAATGACACTTTCGCCGGAAAATGCGGAACGAAGTTTATTTCCGTAATTCCATTAGTTTTCGTATCCAAAGACCCTAAACATGAAATAAAAACTTTGGCATTTCTTTTTTGCTAACCCTAGCCTTTGTACACAATCTTCTGAAATCAGGCTTGCTTGACTGCCAGGGTCAAGGAGGGCTCTACACAATTGGTATTCACCCGATGAATCTAACACTTTAATAACAGCCGTACATAATAAAACTTCACTCTGAAAATTAAAGTCTGAAACACAAGATTTAATTACTGGACTAGAACTTGCGATATTCTCCCCTGACCCAGCCGATTGAGCGCGAGGTTCTGGCCCAGGGAAAAATGGCTTAGCCGTCACTGATAATTCATTCGAACTGTTCGTAACTCCTTTACGTGCCTTTGGTTCATTTTGAACTCTTTCGAAATGCAGTAGTGTGTGATGATTTTTAAAGCACTTTTTACATTTATGTGTACTTCTACACTCGAAAGCTTTATGATTTGAAACCAAACAATTAAAACAAACATTATTTCTCTTGACAAAATTAACGCGTTCCTGAACATTCAGATTTAAAAACTTATTACATTTAAAAACTGAATGACCGGCTTTACAATACGTACACTGCGCGCGAATCTCTGAAGCCAATGAAGTTAATTTGTCTTTTGTAACTTGTTTTTTAACACCTTGCGTTTTACCTGCTTGCAAGGTTCTGGCATGAGATTTCAAGAACTCTAGCAGATTATTAAGTGTTGGTATTTCCTCACTCTTTAATGTTCTTTCCCACCATCCTCTCGTCGAAGAATCCAATTTAAACTGTACTATTAACATTAAAATAGTATCCGCGAATTGCTCCACTTTGAATCCTAGATTTTCAAACGAACATACACACTCTCTTACAGTGTCTACTAACGCTAATATCTGACTAGGAATTTCAGATTGTAAATTTGATAAATACAAGATTTTCTTTAATAACGATGAAAGTAATTCTCTCTTATGTGAAAATCTTTGACACAATAAATGCCACGCTATTTCGAAATTCCTGTCACAAATAGTTAAAGCTTGAACAATCCGCAAAGCATCTCCCTTTAAATATTGTAGCTTTTGTGCACCTGATAAACGGTCATTATCCACTATCGCCGTTTTAAATAAATCAAAAAATTATAACCATTCTTCAGTACTTCCACTAAATACAGGAAGAGTTAGCTTAGGTAAGCGTATACTCGCTATTTCACAAGATTTAGTTTCCACACTAATGTCTTTAACATTCTTAACTCTGGTTAGCATTAAAATTAACTCATCAACAGTATCTTGTATGACCTGCTGTTCTTCTATAAATACATCAATATCTTTTTCTTCACACACTACAAATATGTTACTAAAAATATCCGAAAGTTCGGTCATTAAATCATTTAATCTAGATTTAAAAAGTTCTAACTGATCAACATCAGCAGAATCGTAAGTCACTGTAATTTTCTCTTTCAGTTTACTTAACTTAGCTTTAGCTACCCGATTTTTAGTCTTAAGCGTTGTAAATTCCATTATCTAATAAGAAAGATAAAAAAACACACTGACTCACCAAATTTACTGCGACTCCGTAGCTAACGGACCATAAACATGTACGTTCCGTTGTTAAAAATAGTGGACTGTAAATTGACTTGATATTACTTCAGTATAGAACCCAAAAAACCTCAGAATCATAACGTTGACCGAAACTTCTTTATTGACTTTCAAAGTAAGTTAGTTGAGGAACGGCGAAGACCACACTGCCAACTCCGAACTCAGTAGCGGCTTACCAACACAAACTCAGAAGAACCTCTGCTTAGTTGAAACTCCAGTAATTCACAGCAACCTCAAAGCTCTAAACGCGAGCTTTAAAAACCTAACAAATTTGCGTCTGCGCCGCTCCTCGGTACAAAGAAAGAAATACAATTTGCATAACATCGAACAATATCCTTAACCCTTTCACAGCGAAGTCGCTCTATCTTCCGTGTATTCAGATATCAGTAAGTCGCTCGAATGTGTGCGTCCATTCTCTACCTGCTACTTTTCCCCATCAAGTTAGTGTGCGGTTCATCGGTTTCGGGAATTGTTAAATGACATGCCAATCGCTATTTTGAAGCAACTTCACTCTCCTTTGTTTAGCGTCAACGTTTAGCTGTTGGTGCTTGCACTTTGCAATCTTGTTCTAAGGGGAAACTGCACACAGTGGGTATCCCCAAGACAGAAGTTATCACTTCACTTACAGAGGTTATTGTTAACGCTGTAGCATTCTATTTGGCAGGTGGAAAGGAAATCCATTTCATCAGAAATTCGTATACACGGGCGTTTCAGATGATTGCGGAAAGCACATTTTGGCTTCTATTGATGCGAAAGAATTATAGGGAGATTTGGTAGTGTTCTAAAATCTGCGGCCTTGTGGACTTAGACAGTAATTCTGCCTTAGTAACAATCTTATATGTTATATGGGCATGATTTTAATGAGTATATTTCCAAACCCATAAATATTATTTTTAATCAGCTTATTAATTATTATTACTTAGATTTTATGCAAAGAATTACTTATTTAACTACTGCGAATAAAAGATGTTTTTTTAAGTAATTTCTTTCTGCGAAATGCTATGTTATTATTTATTATTTTAAAAAAAAGTTTTAAATTTCTGAGATTTTACTATTTCTTTACAGGAAAACCAAAAAAAGAAAAAAATCAAAATTTAAAATAATTGCCGTTTACTGCATTCTAAAGATTGTTTATAGATGTTCATGTAAATTAATTCATTAATGAACGTGTTAAGTATGGATAAAGGGAGGAAGTAAAGCATTTTGTAATGTATGAAAATAATTATCAGAATTTACTGCATACTGCTTATCTCATATAAGTAAATACTTCGTAAACTGCGTTGTTGCTTAACGAAATAAATATTTATTTCTTATTGTTGACGCTTAACAAATGAAGTAGACGGATAGAGAATAAAGCAATCTAAGAAGTATGGCGGAATGTTTAACGGACAGTGACAAACAAGACTTCCGTTTTTATGTTTAATAATCGTGAAATATTCAACCCTGTTTTTTGATTTTCTATATATTTTGTTTTATAGTTTTGCTAAGAAATTGCGCATCAGACACATTTAAGTTGAATTACTGGAATATGGTTGAAACGTTTTGAACAAAGATTTACTTTTTTCAACAATCAGCTTACGAAAAACTGTTACATTAAAACAATAAATTACTTAATAGATAAATATGCAAAAAGTTTATATTATTTCATTTTGGATGCTTGAAATCAGCTTAGATAAAAACAAAAACATCTTTGAAAGCATAACAAAATATCCAAAAATGTCTTTTATGGATGTCGTTACCACTGGTCCTTTTGCTAGATTACAGAGTTTATCAGACGCTACACTTCGAACAACCGATGGCTCAGTATTTCCAGTTCATAAGATCATATTGGCTCGTCACAGCGACTATTTCCAAGCACTATTCTGTGGAAACTTTTCCCCGGGAAAGGAAATACTCATTCAAGGCATCGATGGCCGTACCTTGAATGATATACTTATTTACATCTATACTGGAAGAATCAAATTTGATGTTGAGAATATCCTGAATATGCTAGTAGCCTCCGATTATTTACTTGATAACAAATTAATGGAAGAATGTAAATTGTTCGCTTTGCGTACTATGAGCATTTCCAGTTCTCTACCATTGCTCAGCATTGCTTTTAAGTACGAGAGATTAGGAATTCTTAGTGACTGTTACCGTTTCGTTCAGGTTCATTTCGATGATATTCTGTACAGTCCAAAAACAGATATTGGCGATGTTCCACTCGAAGTTCTTTACCAACTTTTAGGAGACAAAAGTTTGAATGTGGCTGAGGAAAGAGACGTATGGATGGCTATTGTAATGTGGATCGAAAAGAATATTCTAGATAGGATGTTGTATGTTCCCAGTCTAGTCAGTTGCTTAAGTTTGGAAGCTGTGGATGAATCTTTAGCCAAAGATATTATTTTGCATCCTTTTGTCCAAAATAATAGATTTTGTGAAGCTATTACTAAGAGCACTGGAACTTATTTTTCGAAATTGGAATGTTTCTTGTCTCGCATTCAGAGTCCTGTATATAATATCTCTAGATATCCTGATTACTTGAATTTAATAGTGCATTTTTATTCCTCTGATTATAATGAAAACATAGAAATTTTTCTCACTTACGACAGTAAGCTGGACATGTGGCGTCAATTATGTACCGCATCCATGACCTCTAATTTAGTGGTTCTTGCACGACAGTATGTCTACATGTTCAATACTTACGAAAATCAATGCACTGCTTTCAATATAACAGAGAAATTCTGGTTTACTCCTGATTCCCATAATATGCCAAGATTTAAATACTGCGTTGTCGAAGTTGAAGGGTCGATCTATATATTGGGTGGCTTCTTGCCTTCTGTAAATGAAGCAACGAATTTCGTGGAAGTCTATAATCTGGATACGAATACTTGGGACGAAGTCAGCCGCATGTCGTTCATGAACACGTATGATGCTGTTTCGCTGGATGGAAAAATCTATGCATTTGGTGATACCTTTAATGGTCATGAAATTATTATGGTTGCTCAAGCCTATAATCCTCACTTGGATAGGTGGACATTCGTTACCTCGCCAAGGATATCTCGTCGTGACTTCATTGCTGTTGCTTACAAGCGACATATTTATCTCATAGGAGGCCATGAGGATGGTACCTCTCTGACAAACGTGGAACAATATGACCCTTTTGCAGACGTATGGATGGACTTTCCTGATTTACCTTTTTTTTATTTCGTACCAAGCGCAGTAGTTTTGCAGGATACATTGATCGTGTACGACGGTCACACCATGGACAGGGAACGTTACAAGACTAATGCATCTTGCTATTGGGATGAGTACGAAAGTTGCTGGAAAACATTTGTCTCTGATTTATCTTTGGATAATATCCACCTTTTCCGATTCTGTGAGATACATAACGCTGAAATTGTGAGGGATCTCACTAGAGAAAACCGACGCCCAGAAGTACGATGGTATAGAAGTCCTTTTGTGTAATTCGAATTCAGAAATTCATCACAAAATAATGACAATTTTTGGCATAAATTGAAATGGATTTAAAATTCTATCTTTGTTCGGTTGCTATTAAGCACATTTTTGTAATCATAACATTAAAATTTGAAACTATTTATGAAAAAAATTACCTTTTTAACTTAAAAGGAAATGTAACTAAAATTTAATCACTTATTAATAAATACATTCATGTATATATGTTTGCTATGAATTAAACAAACGTATTCACGGATTTTAAATTATAACTACACACTGAGAATTAGGAACGATTATTTTATGTTGTTATCTGATTATTTTGAAGTGAAAAATCCAGAAAAAGCCCTCTTTTGAGACGAAAATAAGAGTATAGTAATCATATATTGCATAGTCACAAATTCCAAATGCAAGTATTAAGAGTATTTAAGTCGTAGGTGGAGTCGAATTATTAAGCTAGAGTAACTTGTAATAAGGTCTTAGTTATGGCTTTTCTTTTCCATAAGTGTAAACTAAGTGCTTAATAATAGAGCCATTATGCCTCTACTTGGTTAACTACTAAGTTCTATCATTAATAAAACTAAAATGTATTAGTAGTATTATTCAAGAAATAAAAGAAGTCGAATAGTAATCCTTTTGACTAGTTTTGAAGGCTTTTAAGAATGTTAAGTTAATAATACTGTTATTTTAGTGTTTAGAGTTGCCAAATGATTTTCATACGTCTAAAAATTCTACATCTTAGTAAGTATTTTGATTAATTTTCACTTGGTGGTAAACCTTACCAATCTTTCGAAACAAAACTTTACTTGGCGATAAATAACTAATACGGAAATTCCTTGTAAATTTCAGTGATCTTTGTTTTCTAAACATACAGACAAGAAAATATGAGATGAGAAAAATCCCAGAATAATTTTTTTTTCCATGTTTACAATAGCCACAAGTTTAGATACGTATGTATTATCGCAACCACTTTAATATAAGTCTCAAAATTTTCAGATTGTCAAACTCTGACAACCATGTGCGTAACAGTTCTGTAGGTAATCATATCAATTGTAAATCCGAAAATACACCGAATCACCCTAATTATCAATTTATGTATATGGTTTTTGATGCCGATATTAAGATGCTACTTTTTCTGTCTGACAAACCGGATCACCTGTCTTAAATCTGACTGACAAATCGGGACGTCTGTATTACTATTATCAGCTAATATACTAATTAAAAATTAAATTATGCTTTATCTTCGAAATTATTTAAAAAAAGAATAAGGAAAACTGCAACATTCCCACAACGTCCCTGAATTATTCGAAAGCGATTTGAAATATTTCGGACATATTCCCGAGTAATATTTTATAATTTTCATGGAACATTGCTAGAATATTCCATATTTCTGTTTGTCTAATATATCCGAAGGAATATGCCTGACACGTTCCAGGCATGTATGACGGCAATAATCTTATTCATTGTAAAAGTCTGGTATATTCTTAGAAAGCGTACCAAGTCTTGAAAAAGTGCGATTTCGGAAGGGGGTTTCCTATATAAGCCCAAATAAACTGTTTAGATAGCGTTAAGATAACAGCAGATTTGCTATATTCATAGTCTAATTTTTAGATCATTCCTAGAATATTTTAAAAACATTCCTTGGGAAATGGAATGATGCTGGCTTGTAAAAATAGACGGACGTTGGAATATTTCATGTCTATTCCACTATACATGCAGAATGTTATAGATTTTTTTTCTGAAATATTCTAATATTCCTCCTAGAGTATCTCAGGAATAGTCTTGTAAAGATTCTTCTCAGGGATAAGTGAGCTAAAATTTAAAATATGGCAGGAAAGCGACAAGTGACAATATAGATTCCGAACATAAAATAACTGATTAATTTAAAGGAATACCTTCCAAATGTTTCATGAATTTCAGTTTCTGAAGTACCCTGATCGCTATAATTTTGTCTCGCAGGAAGGTATATTCGTAGAAATCAGGAAATCTTAGACATAAATGTAATAGCAGATATTTGTTAACTGAAACATTTAAGTATTTTTCTCTATTATATGTATGTCAAATATTATTTCTAAAACGCAAACCTTGTCTAAGAAGTTATCGGATAATCCGGTTTTAGTTCGCCACGAAACATCGTCAAAAACATTTGCTTTCGCACTGAAATTCATTAAGAATTTATTTTAAGAAAGTCCTATGCAGTTTTAGAACAGTCTGCTAATGATACGCAACTAATATTCATTTGCGTTTTCTTTAATTACTGTCGGGTGAGCAACTGCCACAGGCTGCGGTTGTCACTGCTGCGGCAATGTCTCACTTCATATCTTTAACTGCTGGCCCCACTTCTGTGCTAAAGCAATTTTTAGCTCACGGAGAATCCTTGGAGATGGTTTGCGAATTCAAGTTACCCATCAAGTGCGTCCTAAATATGTTCAATTAGATTCAGCTCTGGAGGTCTGCTTGGCCAATCCAGGCACCGAATGTCTTCATTTTGAAGATATTTATCCACCAGCTGAGTTCTGTGTGAACGAATATTGCTGTCCAAGAAAAGAAAATGACAGCCAACTGCGTTCCTAAAACTCACACGTAGCTCTCTGTATGCTTTGGACCATTCGACGAACTCAGTCAAACACAGAGTGGTGTGCGGCCATTCAACATGATGGCTATTGGAACTATGATATTTTCGTCGCTATAGTGGTTCTATTATCCGATAATGGAGGAATCGTATTAGGCCCAGGTTCTCTTCAAAAGAATATGCTTAGAATATCATCTTTAGATTAGTCAGAAAACACGAGTCGCGATCATTGAAGTTGAATCCAGGATTGCTTTTATTTGCACAGAGCTACATGCTTTTCTTGCTTTACATGCAAATGAGCCAAAAGAAAAATCTGGTGGAAAGTGGTGGCTAATTACAAGTTCGTGGCAAAAAATTAGCAACATCTATACTATTCAAATCTGTGCGCGTCTGTCTATTTGTTTGTTTATGGCATTTTCTCCTGCGGAACGACGGGGAGTTGAGTTTCGAGAGAGATAATTCCGGATTCCAAACATTCGTGGGAAGCCATTTCGACCACTCTCATCTTCCTACGACTTTAATGAGCTCAGATATTAATTAGGAATTCTGAAAACGCTGGATTTCGCAATCATTTTCCGAGTAGCAGTGGTCTCGCGTTAAAAGTCTGCTTTATTTCGAAAAGAACTGCCACTGCTCGCTTTCTAACCGTAGAGTTTGTTAATAAAAAAATTAAGTTTCACAAAATATGAAATAGAATTTCTAAACATTAATTAATTTTTATATAAGGTAATATTCGGAGGGTGAAGAAAGCACGCCGTTGCATATGACATCATTTTATGTCGAAAATGTTTCGCTAATATCAGCATTTTAAATAAATAACTGCTGTTGGCAACATTTTTGTTTCAGGTTAAGATTATGGACACGATAAGTTATTGCCTCGTTAATTATTTTATTAATATTAAAAATATTACATTAAATTTACATCGTAACGTCATAAGCATTAACCTGAAAAGTCAAAAGGTTCTTCTTCCTGATTTGGCAACAAAATATTATTTACGAATTGATTTTTGGTTGGGAAGAATGAGGTGATTTTATTCATACTGAAATGTTTTCATGCATTTCTTTTTCAGGTGTACATAGAACTTATAATTTTTGTTGTGACTGCAGCTCACTAGTTTATTATTATTATTGATCGTGAAATTCTTGGTGCAGGAACATTCTTGCACAGAGTGATTAGGAAGTGTTGGTAACCGTAAGTTCAAAGAGCAATGTCAGTGTAATGTTATTTGTGGTATTAGGTGTTATGATACTGGCAGCACTCATTTCATTAAGAATATGGGAATGAATATTTTTGTTTACATATTGCAAGTGTGAAAGGGATTATGTTTTGGGTACAGTAGGACGAAGTTCAGGTCATTTTGCCTTTCAGATGCGTGATTTCCTTAATAAAAATTTCCAGGTTCTTGGATTGAGCATAGTTCTTCAGAATTTCTATCCCCGTTGAAATAACCCCTCACATAGCCTGAACCTTTTAGCATCAGATTCATTTAATGCTAATAATCAAGTCACATATCTATAATTTTTCGGTATAGGATAGATTAAGAACCGCACGAAAGTGTGGAGAAAGCCTTTTCGAACGATAATCTCTCAGACGCTCCACAATATGTTAAGGAGGGCACAAAGACGCACACATTTATGTATATAGCACAACGGAACACATATAGATTCCACTGTATGCATATTTCGTACAGTTTTGCTAACTAAATGAACTAAAATTACGCTGAAATTTTTCTTTGTGAGACTCAGTTCCAAGGGTTCTGGGAATTGCTGGACACTGCATTTTCTGATAAACGAGCTTACACAGATGCGCGTAGAAGTTTCTGGTACTGTGTAGCTGAAAATTGACTTTCGTGAATGATTCCTGAAAAATGACCTTTTTCTGTGTTTCACAATATTTTCATTAATGTACATCTCATTACATGTTTCATAAATTTATCAAACATTAAAATTTTATCCTTCATTGTTCTCGCTGAAGAATATGAAAAGAATTTGACACAAAAATATAATCAAAGAGACAAGAAAATATAATGGAAGTCCTTCGATTATATTTATGTGTCAATCGAATTGACACATAAATATAATCGAAAGACATTCTTACACTAAATACACTTAATTTTCATATATCACATTTTATATTTGCATTGCCTGAAAATTCCAGATCGCGTTGCAAGTTGATTAACTAAATAACATATATTTAGCAGCCTGAGGAGCCAGAACTTGTCTTAGATTGTCTCGGCACATGTACATACGATGGACGACACTGGTTTAGCATATCAAAAACAATCATTATCTTTAAACTTGCAATGTATCTAAAATCGTCCTTGAAGAATTACCGCGTGTCGTCTAGATGTTATCACCTTTGACATACTTGTTCTATTTTCAAGAAGAGGAAATAGAATAGCAACTACGT